TAAAAGATACGTGTAGATGATACAACTAGAGGTTTTGTTATACAGCTTACAGATCTAGTTATGACACTGAGTGAAAAAATATAAAAAGTATAAACAAATGGGTTGGGACAATTCACAAAAAAAATAAAGTAGACTGGGAAGAGGTCTGGAAAAATATAAGCAAAGTCAAAGAAAGAAAATGCACAAGCTCTCAAGCTCACAAAGATTGGATTTTTAAAATCAAGCGTCTTAATGGTTTACTCCCAACAATGCAAGTTTTGAAATAAAGAAAAAAAGACTTATACACGAATGATATTTGCAAGATTTGCTCCCAAGAATGTAAGACACAAGACCACTTAGCCAAATGTACCGAGCTGCAATTAACTTGAGGCAAGCTTAAAGAAGAAGGCTGCTCAGCTATTGTTAACAAGGCAGAAAAAGAAAAAGCAAATTTGAAGATATACAATAAGCAGAAAATAGCAGAATTAGTATTTGGCAAAAGTCTTGACGAAAAAATCTCAACTAGAAAAGAACTAATAAGAGGCATGATGATCAAGTAAAGAGTCCAAAAGATTAGCTTGTTATTAGAAGAAGAAGTAGCAAAGACTTCCAGAATCCTGCACACCTTTGTCGATAGTTTCTCGCACCATTTTCGCAAGCTCATTTGGAACTCTCGATGCGAAAAGATAATAGAATGGAAGAAGAAAGAAGGTATAACGAAAGAAAAGAAAACAGAAAATGCAAGAAAAAGAAAAAGCAAAGAGACAAAAGAACAAGACAAGAAAATAGAGACCCAACGAGCAGTACAAAAGAGAAAGATATCAGAAGAACCAAGATTAGCAGAAAAAAAAAAAAAACTAGATATGGCTAAAGAAAGTGATAGTCTAATCAGGGTATGGGTCTCATGGGGAACCAAACCAACATGGTCTTCACTAGTAAAGCTGAAACAGTCTTTTTAAGCATGCTTGACATGGCAGACAACAGCCAATTGATGACCAAGAGGGGTACCTCGATCGGTACAAAATCCTAGAAGTTAAGAATCCTGAGGGAGATAAATTGTTGTTTTGGCAGGTTGTACTGGATAAATACTTGGTGAGTCTTTTTTAGATTAGAGCAATACACTATATAGTCAATTATACATGTATAATAGTTAAATAGTAGTTCAAATAAATAAAGACAAAATTGCTTAAAAAAAAAATTATAGAACATTTGTTCTAAAAAAACTATAAATGATACTTTATTTGCAATATTAATATAAATTTGCAGAATCTTAAAATACTTACTATTTTTAACTTCTTTATTATCAGTATTTTTATGCAAGTTATTATTTATTTCATTGTACAAGTTGTTATTTTTAATATTAATATCATTTGCAAGTTGTTATTTTTAATACTAACTATATCATGCAAGTTGTTATTTTCATAATTAATCTTATTATATAAATGTTATTTTTAACATTAACTTTGCTATACAAGTTGATATTTTCAACATTATCTTTATCATATAAGTTGTTATTTTCAACATTGACTCTATTACTAATTATAGCTTTATACATTTTTTTTATTTTTATTTATTACTAATAAGGTCTACATATGTTTAAAAGTGAATAATATTATATAAAATTTTGGATAAAATGCTAATTCAAGCAAGTGAAAGAAGGTTAGGGAGCTGACAATTATCAGGTGATTTTCTAGGGGGGGGGGTCAAAAAAATTGAAATTTTATATATAAGACCTGATAATTTATATATTAAAAACTGGGGAGTAAGCCTCTGATAAAAAAAAATCAGGTGATAAATGACACTGCCCTTAAGTTAAAAAAAAACAAATACTTTAATATATGCTGTATCTAGCATAACAAATATCATCATACTGATCAATTATTTATAAATTACACTATAATGTTTTACAATATCAGAAGGCAATTCAGTCAATCTAATAAATTAGTATAACTTGTAATAGAAAAAGCATGTAATGGAGGGCAACAAGAATATTTATTCTTTATTTAATAAATAAAAAAGTAAAACTTAAATAAATTTTAAATAAATTTTAAAAAACTTTTAAAAATTATTTTAGCAAGTAAATTTGCTTGCTAAATAGTTTAAAAAATAAAAGAATTATATATAAAAAACAAAGAATATAAAGAAACAATATTATACTTTTATATAGATAGGTTTTTAAAGACTGTAAATAGGTAAGCAATAATGAGTACTAGCTAGATACAAGTAAATATAAGTATAAAGATAGTTTTAAGAAAGGCCATTGTAAGATAAAGAACTAGCTATTTTTAATAAAACCAGAATTAGTAGCAATACTTATAGCAGTTTTAATAGCTTCATAAAACTGTAAAATAGTAATAAAAACAAAAGTATAGTAGCAATTGTAGAGCTAAAATAGTTCTTAGAATTGCAAAATATAAAAATATGCAAAAATAAAAAATAGAGCATTAAAATAAGAATTATAGAGATAGCTAAAACAAAAAAGTTAGATCTAATTTTAGAAAAGTCAAAAGCTATAGTAAAATAAAAAAAAATAATGAAGCAAATTAGCTAGTCAAAAAAGGTGCTAAACAAAAACATTTGTTTAACACAATAAAGATAAAAATATGCTAGTTGTAGTATTAAATAAAATAGTAAACCTACACAGTAGAATCAAATTTGAGATTGTTTTTGATGAAGATATTTTAGTTGAAGATATTACAAAACTAAGCATATTAAGTCTTGAAAAAATAGTTATAACAAAAGAGTAAATAAAAAATATTAACTGGCAGCTCTTTTGGTTGAGTTTAAAGAAGTTCACAGAGTATAGATACAGGTTTTTAAAAATATTGAGCAGCTTAGCCTTTTGTTCAAAATTCTAATACAAAAACTCTTAATATTTGTAAAATTAAAACAACAAAAGCTATTAATTTATTATAATGCAAGTTACAAAATATGTAACAAAAAGTAAAAAAACTTATTTGTATATAAAGTACAAGAAATAAACTGGCAAAATATCAAGACAGTTGTAATAGAAGTTATTTAAAGCAAGTTGCTAGTCAAAATCAAACATGAACTAGACCTCTTATAGTTTTACAAGTTGATTCTATAGAACAATAGCCAAAAGAAGATCAAAGCTAGAAGCAATCTAATTAAAGAGTTATACAAAAAAAAAATATACAAAGAACTAAGAAAAATAATATACTTAAGCAAGATAACAAGCAGTTGTATTAAAAGCATATTTTTAAAAATAAATTCTATGACTTTATATAGAAAAACAGATGCTATATAATATTGCAATAGAAGAAAAGCAAAGGCATCATACAGAACAAAAAAAAAATTGAAATCAAAAAAAGAAGTGCAATAACAAGCAGGTACTATCTAACCAGCAAGATGGCACCCAAGTAAGACTATAGCAAGAAAAAAATAAAAATAAAAAAATAAAAAACCCACAGTAAAGAGATTACAAAGAGGTGGAAAAATATATTAATAAAAATTATAGTTAATGGTATGAAGCCATTTTGGTTTAGTTTCTAACAGTAGTATGACAGGTCACATTTAGGTGCTTGTAAAGTAATCGAATAATACCAAATCTGTACTTAGTTTAGATAATTTAAACATGTAGTTTAATATATATAAAACAAATTATTTTTTAATAAAGATACTAATGAAACTGTTAAAGAAATATATATATATATATATAACATTTAAATAGACCTGGCTAGTCAGCTTTTTTTTATAAATTTCATATATAAAATTTTATAAAATAAATTTCAAAGCCTACCTGGTTATTAAAATATATAAAAATTTTTTTTTGAAATATTCAAATTTTGACCCAGCATAGCCTTAATTAAAATAATAAGTAATTAAGTTATAAAGATTATATATTTATTTAAAAATAATATTTTGCATTTTTGTTATTACAGCAATTATATAAGTAGTGAAATACTTCTGGAATTTTTTTTTTGTTCCTTAAAAACATAAATTTTCTTAAAAAATTTAATTAAATTATTCTCTTTCCCTTCTGAAAATATCGGATATTTGCTCAAAATTTTGCCCGACTCTTCTTATCTTTTATATTCATCCATTTTCCGGAATTTTACGGAATTTTTGTCTTCCCATTTCGTAATTCCACCCAGTATTATACTTCCTGTTCTAAATTATATATACTTGAATTTTTCTATAGAACATAAATTTTATGTTCCCAGTTTATTTCTAAAGGGAAATAATTTTTAAATCTATTGTTCCCAATTTTTTTTAAATGTTCTTGGGAATATTAGATATTTAACACTGTTTCCGCTATTGAAAAATCGCGATATTACAATGGCCAACGGTAGTACAACTAAATGAAATGAGATTATACAATGTAAGCCTAAATAGTTTGTTCAAATATTTAATCAATACTTGACTAACTTATTAGTTGCATGCTTAGAGTATTATTTCAGCTCAAATTTTCAGGTTCATCTTCGAATAAAAAGTTTACGATATAGTAAGCTTTACTTAAAGATATTAAATAAAATAAGTTAAATTTGCTATTACTTTATATAGTATATTTAACATATTTATTTAGTTAAAAATTTATTCGAACTACTTTTTCTTTAATGAAGCTTTATTAGATTAAGGTAAAAATCTAAATTTGTAAGGAGAAATGGAAAGTAATCTGACATACGAACAACATTTTGAATAATGTTTTTTTTTTTTTTTTTGATAATAAAATTAGATAAAATTTTAATAAGAGTATAAAATTTTAAACCATAAACAATTTTTAAATCGTTTTATCTTGATTTAATGAATCTTTGGAATAAATTAAATCATATACTGTATAAGAATTATTTTACAAAATAAGGGTTTAATCTTTAATAAAAAAATTCTATCTTTAATATTTTAATTTAGAAAATATTTCTATATATTTAATCATAATTTTTGCCTATATCTAAATTTAATATTATATATTCTGCAAAAATAAACTTAACTAAAATTAATAATTTTGCAGTTTTAAAAATAAATTAATCACAAAATAATTATTTATAATGTAACAAATTATATCACAAAATAAATTTGCCATTAAGCAGTATTATGTTATAAAACGTTAAATAATTGAATCTTTTTTTAGCAAAATATTTGTAAATCTTAAAAAATGCTTCATTTTTATTTGCCTCTTCAACACAATCATTCAACAAGTCATTAAATTTTTCATTAGATAACTCCATATATTTTGGGAGAAAAACCACACTTTGAAGAGCTCGTTTAAAATTTTCTGCCGCCTATATAAAAAAAATAACAATATCAATATACCAAAAAAATTTTTAATCTTCTAATCTGATTATAAACTATTTACTTACATATTCACCAAAACATCCGTACCATTCACCTAGTGGATAATCTACAGAAGTATAGTTCAAATCTTCGAGTTCATCTACTTCCTTGATATATTTTGGTATTTTTTCATAAATCTGAATATTAACATCCTTTATTTCTCGACAAGCATTTGAAACTAAAAAAAATTTAAAGTCAATTTTTTTTTTAATAAACCTTTAATAATTTACTATGTTAAATGCTTACAAGAATCCATAAGCCATAGTAAGTTCTTTCCACCTTTTTTAGCCATCTGATCCGGTTCAGTAAATTCAATCCAACCATCATACGCTAAAACTCTAACAAGCTCTTTAATTACTATAATCCATTGATCCTCAGAAAATGCGCTCCACATCATGCTTATATTAATAAAATCAAGTGTTTGGAGGAAATGGAATGCCATGAATTGCATTACATGCAATAAAACAAACATTTGATGGACATTCTTCACTTGATGGGAAATTAGAATGATTAATATCAATTGCGATAATTAAAGAAGATGGATATTTTAATCCCATATCTATCGCCCTAAGACCGGGGCAACACCTTGTGATGGAAAAAATTATTTTTATAGTAACGCTTTTATGAAATTTAGCATAAAATAAAACATATTTAAACAATTTATTATGATATAATTACCCAACATCAAGTATAGTAGTACCACTCTCATTCAACTTGGCTTTAATTGGGGAACAAAAATTTCCTTTCCATCGATGCTTCATTAATATATAAGACAGTGTCAACCTTCCAAGTTCTATTTTATCTGATGGAAGTACACTGTTTAAATCATCATCATTCAAAAATTGTCTTCCATTATAAGTTTTATACGAGTTTAGCAGCAGAGAGGTTACTTCATTTATATTCTTTGTTTCAAAATTAGAATCATCAAAGTATTCTAAATTGTGTTTTCGGACTTTATTTTTCGGCGTATTAGTGAGAGAGTCTTTAGATTTTTTGGACATGATTTACATCATTTGTACGATAATAAAAATTCGATATTACGTATGTGCAGTACGTAATGTATATATGTAATGAATGTACTATAGTGAATGTTTGTATATATTGAAAAAAAGATAAATCTTTTCACGCGTAACGGTTTTCTGTAATAAGATAATAAAACGTGTGTTATAAATTTTTTATTTTTTTTTTAAGTACTTGTACATTTGTTTTGTGCTACAATACAGGCTATCAGATGGAGTGACGGATTACATATAAATGTTAAACCTGTATTACCCAAGAAACGGTACAGTCAGACCCCTCCCTAAATGCAGCACCTCTCTAAATGCACGTCTTCTTTTGGGCCCAATTAATATTACATCTATAGATTTTTACCTCCCTAAATGCAATACCTCTCTAAATGCACGTGTTAGAGCTGGTCCCGACGACGTGCATTTAGAGAGGTCTGACTGTAGTTAAAAAAAGTAGAAATTTCAAATGAGTACTGTTTACTAGTGTTACAAGCCATAAGGTTTTTATTGGCTGGTCTAGCCAGCTAATAAAAACCGACTAAGTGACTGGCTAATAGGGTGGTTGGCGCAAATATTTTTGGTGCCCAACAAAAAATCTAGGCAGTGCATGGGCACGGGCACAAAAAACTTGGCATGGGCATGGGCACAGGCACAGAAATTTGATATTCATTATTTAATTGTGCCTGAGCACATTTGTACCTATAGGTAGAGGTCTGATCCGATGAATAGTATATTCGAATATTCAATGAATATTCGAATATCCGAATAAATAATTGTTTCACTGAATTGAATACTCGAATATAAAAATTTTTCTCCAAATAATTCATTGAATATTAAATGCAAGATTGGATATCATATGTCATGCTCAATCTTATATACTGATTGGCTAGTAATGCTAAAAATAATGAGCCCGAAGTAGATGAACAAGATAATCCTTATTAGTTAGAGGTTTTCTCTATCAATTTATTTATTTTAATGTAGCTTTTGAGTATTAAACTCATTTGTTAGCTTGTGTATTTAAACTCTCAATTATTCAACTTCATAATATTAACTTAATTCATTATTGTTCCGAATCAACAATTCTATTTCATGATCATCACTATTCAATGAACATTCAGTGAATATTCGAATATTCGTTTAAAATTTGCTGATGAATATTCGGATATTAAAAAGATTGAACGAATGAATATTCGAAAACTTATTTTTCGACCGGATCAGACCTCTAATATATATATGTGTGACTTATTATATCTCATCATGTCTTATTACTATATCTTGCTATTTTATTATTACAGTTGACCCTCAAAATCGGTATAGTGGACAGGTTTTGTATCAGTTTTGAGAGGTTATCGGATTTGAAAACATAACAAACTATTAGATTTATACGACGGGAATGGACTTGGTAGATTAATTTTTTATCAGTTTTGACAGGCTATCGGTTTTGATTGGATTGGTTTCGAGAGGGTCGAATGTATTTAACAATGTGCAAAAAATTTTTTCATAAAAGCTACATCATTAAAAATATAAAATCTAAATCTAAATATTTTTATAAAAAATATTATATAATTAAATAGTTTAATAAATGCAAAATCATTATAGTATTAACCTTTTTAAAATGTTTGTAACAACCATATATTAACAGTTACTCCACTACAAGTATCTGTTGTTTTGTTTACTGAAATACAAGTTTGTTAGTTTACCAACGCTTTATAAAACTTATCCAATTCTAATTCATATAATATTGGCAAATATTTTTCTTGAATTTGATTATATCTACAATAAATACAATTGACTAACAACTTTTAGCACATACTAAATTTGTGACAGGTTATGTCAATCACTGAATCAAAAGAGGTTAAGTGCAGATTTTAATTTACTTTATATTCAATATTTAGTTATACCCATATATCTAAAATTTCATGCTGAAAACTTTTGTTTAGAAGTCAAACTATAATTATTATAGTAAAATGTTGAGTTATTTATGGATTTTCTGTTTTCTCATTGAGAAAACAGAAAATTTGTAAATAACTCAAGATTTTACAAAACTTCCAACTAAAAGGAGAAATAAGAAGTCTATTGGAGAGTTGTATAAATTATAAAAATGGTTTGTAGAAAGATTAACTGGCTCTAGAGACTCCTTTCTACATTTGGTATGCAAGCCAGAAGCCTTACAGAGTAACAGTGAAAAAAGCAGGCAGCACTCATTAGGGGGCTTCCAGAAATCAGCTGATTTATTTTTACTAATAAATTTCCTGAGGCCAGATCCCCCTCTCCACCTGACACCCATTAGCCAATCAAATTTCAGTATTTATTTTTAATTTTATATACCGTAAACTGCTATATACAAGACCCGGTGTGATGCAATTTTTTACAATTGAAAAATTTTTAAATCACGTGTATTACGTATCACATGATGCATAAATAATATTTTAAAAATAGATCTACATTATTTGTCACACCGGGTCTTGTATATGGCAGTTTACGGTAGTAATATATATATAAATTTTAATAATAAATAACTTTTGTTCTACTGGGCCAAATTGAATAGTTTAACTACCAAAATGCCCTCTCAAGTAGGAGATTCTAACAAGCCCAAAATCATAAAAATCTAATTACTGGATCCTAAGATCGATCTATATTTGTGTATTATTATATATACTATACTACTATAGTATATATAATAATAAACAAATATAGTTCGATCTTAGGATCCAGTGATTGGATTTTTATAATTTTGGGCTTGTTAGAATCTTCTACTTGAGAGGATCATTTTGGTAGTTAAATCATTCAATTTGGTTTAGTAGAACAAAAGTTATATATTATTAACTTTATTAATAAATATATAATTTTGGGCTAAAAAATTTTATAATTTTGGCCGGAACTTGTTGATTCCGGCCGGAATTATACCTGACATCCCAGCTGACCTCCACCCCCTTAAATCAGCTGATTTCTGGAAGCCCTCTTACTCAAGTATAAATTTTGGTGGATTTATCTGTCGACGAAGTTCTATAATTTATTGTTCTAAAGGTTTACAGTAGTAGTTTTTAGGGTACAACAAAGTGGTTAATCTTCTTCTTGGGGACTCCCTTCTATATTCGACATGCAAGCCAAAAGCCTAGAAACAGAAGTGAAAAAGCAGGTGGCGCTTACTGCGAATAGAAAAATTTTGGTAGGCACAGACCTGTTGACGAAACTACAAAAGATCTTAGAACCCAGATGTATAACAGTTATCTTATTTTTCTTAAGCTATACTCTTTTATTTGGCCAAGTGGTTCCTTCTTTTACTTTTACTCACCTCTCTGTCGGTTTTCCAAATTTTTTTTTGCAAAAAGTGGGGGATTTGGCATTGTTTATTTTCCAAATTCGGACGGACTCAGTAGAATATAACCATGTGACGTGTCTGCTTACAAATACAGCACTACTTCGGAGAAGTCAGATCAGAACCTCTGGTTAAAGAGATATCCAAAAGTGGTTATAAGTCGGAAGAAATTTATACATTAAGGCAAAGCTTTACATTAGAGATATACAATTGTTGCATTTGTTATATAATTTTTTAGCCTTGTACAGGTTATAATAGTGCATTTTGGTCATGTAGAGAGGTGGAATTTCTCTCGAATTGTTATTTTTTTTTTATAAAATGTTTTTTTTTATTTTTTCCATTTTTTCTTTTTTGGGGTTTTTTTTATTTTTATATTTTGTTTATTTCCCCTATTCCTCCTTTTATATCTTCTTTTTAGTCATAGGTCATTTTCTTTTTTTTATAGATTTTTTGATAAGATAATTCTGGTTTGTTTACGAACTGGTGCAATGGGTTGCATTTAGGACTGTAAGGTAACTGAGTGAAGTTGGGCTTTGAGTTCTATAAATTAAATATATATAGCTCTTATACACATTTTAATAAAAAGCAAGCCATGGTAAAACCCGTGAAGATTAAAAAAAAAAAAAAAAAATTCAAGATTTTACTATAATAACTACAATTTGACTTCTAAACAACCATTTTTGACACGAAATTTTAGTTATATGGATATAACTAAATATTGAATATAAAGTAAATTAAAATCTGCACTTAACCTCTTTTGATTCGGTAATTGACATAACTTGTTACAAATTTAATATGTGCGAACTTTGTAGCCAATTAGACTAATTGCTTGCGTTATTTAAAAATTGGTGACTATAATGAGAGTTTATTCTTAATAAAATTATTAAAAAATCAAATTTTCATGATGATAGTGATTATAAGCAATTTGTAACTATAATAAGTTTTTTTACTATATTTGAGTCCATCACACAAAATTGGGTGCTTAAATAGAGGTGTGACTATATGGGGTATGACTATAGGGAGGTCTGACTGTATACCTAACAACAACACCAATATCTCTCTACCAAACAATCCTGACAACACTTTACCATTAGACAGCTTATTACCAATAGATACAAATAAACACTCTAATGAGTAACTCATATACTATACAAGCACAAACCTTCCAACCCAACATATCTCAGCATATACAAGCACACACTCTCCAATCCTTTCCACTTAAGCTACTTATACTTTCAATTTGCACACATAATGTATAAGGACTTAACAATGACACCAAAAAAGAAACCTGGGAACAATATTGTCTTTAACAGAATTTAGATATTATTAGTATTACAAAAACCAAACTCTCTAGCAAGCTATTTTCATGTAAATGATACAAAACACAGCATTATACATATCTTTGATCAAGCACAAATAGCTCCAAAGCAGAAATAGCTATTATTATCTACAACAACCTCAATTCTCACATTCATAATATTAGTCTAGTTCCAGAATATGCAATCACAATTGATTTTTTCTTTAAACATAATTTCAAGTTCCAAATTATTTCTCTTTATCTTCCTTGCAATAATACACAACTTCACCTCCAGACCCAAAACACTATAATACAATAGCTTTAGCAGGCCAAAGCAGCCAGTATCTACCCAATAACTCTAGAAGATTTCAATACAAT